GAACTACCACTGTTATTGGTCTAAATAATGCTTTTAATCCTTCTGGTAATTCTGCTCTACCTAAATATCCTGGATTCATCGTAATAAACACACCACAAGTTGGATCTAAAGAAATCTCACCACCTCCTGGAAATAAAAATGTTTTCTTCTATTATTTGATAGCATCAGTGACTGCCTTAAATTATACAGAACAGACTGATAAGACTTCTGGTAATAAACGATTAAATTCATCAAAACATCCCCAACATCCTGAACTTGCAAGTCCCTTATAGATATTACCCATAGATTCATAATTCATTTCTGAACTGCAATTAAATACGTAACATGCTTTAGCTAATGCATTTGCCAAATCTTTAGTAGTTTCAGTTTTACCAGTTCCTGCAGGACCAGCTGGTGCACAACCCATCTTTAAATGTAATGCTTAAGTAGCTGTGACGTAAATACGATCTGTCAATGGAGTAATAACCAATCTTGGACCATTACCCAAATATTCATATGAATAATTAAATGATGCATCAGCAATTCTAATAAGAGCATCATTATTAACCCAATAGAATTTTAATTATGATTGCCATTAAAATTCGTCTGGTTTACGAACATGTTCATCAATCAATTTTCCAATAGTATCTCTGGAGTGAGCATCCATAGTAATTAAACACATCAATTTTTATCTTAAAGACTTACTTAAATCACCTCTAACAAATCTAATTAATTCAGTAAGTGCTTCTATACTTCTCTTATGATAATCTTTAAGTGCATTCATATCTCCATTTGCAATTTTACCAAATGCTTCTTCAACTTAGACTGACCACATAATATTATTAACTAATAAAGCAATTTAAGCTGGATCTTAATCAATCCAAGTTTTTCTATCCATTTATAATTGACATGTTTTAGAATCATAACATCCAAATGATTTTTTGGCTAATTCTCTTAATGTATCGATCATTGAATCAATCATAGCTTATAAATAGATTTCAACTTTATTCAATAATTACAATGGTTTAACTAATGTTACATCTTCTTGACCAACACATGTAATCATCTTTTTAGCAAATGGTCTTTCATTATCATTTTCTTATAATTCCAATTTATCAATAGCTTAAAAGATTTTTGACATATGTCTGTTAATTTTAGCAGGTGAATTACCATTTGAAAGAATATCTAATAAATCATTTACACTAACAAAATAGAATCTTGGGAATGCTCTTCTCTTTGAATCTAAAAATTCATTCAAAGCTTTTTCACAAACTTTCAAATCAGCTTAAATCTTTTCTAATTATTTCAACATATTTGGTTATGTACAGAATTTCAATATAATTTTAATTTAACAACCAGATTCCATAATTTCTTTCATACTTTTATCAATTGAAACAAATTATTCAGATTCTTTTGGTAATTCTTTCTTCACTTCTTCTGATTAAATAAATAAGTTTTCCAAGAAAGACCATGTTTTTTATACTTCTGATAATAATTAAATGACATCATAAATTGCTCCTAAATCTTATTTCCATTTTTCAACATCTTTTTCAAAAAACTTCACATATTTACTTAATAACATATTATTTATTTATAATTGATGTTCTTCTAAAGTTTCAAAATGTTCATCTAACATCTTTAAGGTTCTAATATCAGTATCTTTATGTTTTATTAATTCAAATTAAACATCCTTCCAGAAAGTATCAACTTTAATGATACCTTTCTCCATTTTTAATTCCTATTTTGCTTATTCAGAAATATCTTCTATTTTTTCTCTGTAATCAAATAATTTAAGATTCCAAATAACATCCAATTCCATATCATCTCCAATAGCAAAATCTTAATTGACAACAACTTTAACTTCTTTCCAATGTCTACTATCACTTGTATTCATTGCTGGGTCTTTCAATTCAGTTAATAATGGAATGAATGTACCCCATTTACGTAAATCTTCATTAATACCTGTGAAGACATTTGATCTTTTATCAATACCCTTCATATCAATTAAGAATTTACGAAGTTTTTTAACTTCATCTTCCATTTCATTTGGATCTATGGTTGCCCATTTATATCTCTTATAATCTTAGAATTTTTATTCACATTTCTTAATGTGTTCCCATAATAATTAAACAGCTGCAACTTCTTATTTAATGGCATCTAAATTTTTTTGGCATCCAACAACTTCATCTGGGAAATTGAACATTTTAGAATAATATTCATAGTTTTGAAGTGTTTTTGAAAATTTATCAATTTAAGCTTAAACTTCTGCAAATCTCTCTTATGAATCTTTAATACCTGTTTTGTATTAATAAAATGTTTCTTTCTTGAGTCCTTGTAAATATTCTTTTAATTGTTCTTCAAATTTTTTAATTTTTTCTTTTGTTTTATCAGCTTCTTATTTAACTGGACCACTGATATCCTTTTCAACAGTTTAAGATATTTTCAATAAGTTCTTCCATTCTTCTTACATTTTATTAACTTTTTTTATTTCAGTTTCTTTTTTCATATCATGTTTTTCTAAAGTTCTTAATATTTATTCATTTTCATCTAATAATAAAAGAATATTTTCTTTTTCATCTGAAATCTTTTTAAGATTCTCCATAACTTCTAATAAACTATTGACATCTTCTTAAATATTTTTATCTTTAATATTAATATTATCTCTCGATGTATCAATAAGTTTATTGATTTCTTCATTTTTATTAGAGACATAATTAACTAATTATGGACCTGTATATTGATTATTTTTTGGTCCAAGATTTTCTAAAAATTATGCTTTTTTAGGAGCACCTCTAATTTCGTTATATTCACCTCTTTCATTCTTTAATTTAACATTAACAATAACTTCACATGGTTCATCAATTTAATATTTAACTGTATATGATCCATCATCATTATCATTAATTGAATATTTAATGTTAGCTTTTTCTTCTAACAATTACAATTTACTTTTTTCTTAAGGTACATCCTCTTCAACTTCTTCATATTCTGATTCTTAATTTTCACCTTCTTGTCCTTCTTATTATAGTTTAACTTTTTTTCTTCTAACCATTCTTTTTTTATTTTATTCTTATTCAATTCTTTCTCTTTCTTCTGGATCCATTTATTCTAATTATTATAATCTAATAGCTTCTCTTTATTTTTCTTCTTCTAATTCAGCCATAACATCTGGTCTAGTAATTTCAATATAGAATTCATCTGCACCACTTTCTCTATTTTAATTATTCAAATTTCTAGTTTAAATATAAAACATAGTTTCATTTTTTATAGCATTATCTCTTAGAACTCCAGGTCCAAACATTAAAGTTTT